TCTTTACTGCTTATGATAAAAATGCACTTGAATCTACAATTTTCCCCCAAATTGGAGAGTTTTCAGAATGAAATATATGTTAGGTGTAATGACCGAACAGACGAGATCAATAAGTTATTCATTATATGGCCTTTTCATTATGGACCTAAGCCTGCGATCAATCAAAACCAATAACTGGTCAGCGGATAATTTTTGGTTCCACATCACCTCAATGAGTTGTACACTTGAGCACGTGATACAGGCGATGACACTGGTCAATGGATGCCATTTTGGACAGCTGTCAATTGACCAAAACATGGATGTCCATAAGGATACGGTCCACTATCAAGTTAAACACATATTAAATATACCTTTGGCACCTACATCTACAATTGTAGCTAGTAATGCCCGGTAGGAGCCCATAACCCTGTGCTCGGTCATTACAAGAAAAAAGCCAATCAGAGAGTGCGTATTACTATAGCCATATAATAAAAGAATATAAGACAGTCGAGCTTCCACTAGCGGCCACCTCTCAGAGGCACCCAACGAGAATATAGTTCAAAACCACTTAAACATAGCATTGTTAAGCGTATTTTGTATTCAAACGGTGGATATAGGCATATTTTGATCCGCTAAAAATTTTTCATCTATTCGGATTTCCTAGCTGAAAGTCTAGTGATCCGAAAATTATAGGGGTCAAAACTTACCTTTTCGAAAATTTCAGCCAGAAAAAAGGTTCCTGAAATGGGGAATTATACCATTTTTAGATATTCTAAAATCCTAGGAGAGGCAGACAAACAAGAAATTTTACAACAAATGTTCCGAAAATTCTAGATTTCAAATCATCTTCCGAACAGATATTTTCCGAAAATCAGGCGTTGGGTGCCCCTGAGCTCTCTATATCGGCCACCTTTTTCGTCCCAGTAGACAAATAATTCATTCATTGACTCTTGTTTAAACCTCTCTACAACGGTTACCTTTTTATAATGGCCACTTTCTTCTGTCCCCAAGGTGGATGTTATTGAGGGGTTCAACTGTAATCAAAATTAATCACAAAATATCTTTGACACACTTTCGTTAGGCAACTTACCCATAAAGGAACATTACGCACAATTTGTTAAGTGTCTGCCTCCGGTAACTCTCTAAATTAATTTATTACTAATTATCAGTTGCTGATAATTTTTCATCCGAGATATCAGAACTTTTACGCTGTTTGTGATAGTTTATACTTCAACTTCACTCTTAGGGCCTGTTTACATGGAGTGGGGGACCCCGGTCTAGTGGGGTTGGTTTCTTTTGTTTTCACGCTCTGGGGGACACAAAACAAAGGAAACCTACCCCACTAGACCGGGGTCCCCCACTCCATGTAAACAGGCCCTTATTTAATGCAGTTGAAGCTACGAAAATAGCAGAATTATTAATGTGCATAAACGATATAACCTGTTTTAGTACTCTTAAATTTTGGCCGTTAACCTCATAGACTGAAGCGCTTTGTATAACCAAATTTTAACATCATGTAAAGATTTACGTTTTCACAAAGACTGACTGAATGTACGCAAATTAGCTGATTCAGAACTACCTGAAATTTCCAAGATTTAAGATGGTTCTGAATTTGCTACACATTTAGATCGATAAATTCGCTAGGCTTGTTTTATTATTTTTATTATCATTATTATTATTATTATTATTATTATTATTATTTGAAAGCGAAAATCGAGAGTGTTTTGTCAAGTTATGATGCTGCTATGGTAACGTTTTGTATAGAAATGCCTTCAAAGACAAATTGACAGGTAGTAGAGCTGATTCACAGTTTTCTTAAAAACCTCAGTTACACAATATTTGTGATAAAACTGATACTGAAAAAAAGATTTCTTTTTTCAATTCTTTCATTGGTTATTGGTTTCCTCATTTGCAGTTCGCTTATCTATCCAGTATTGTTCCGATGACAAAATAATACGATACTGATCGCTCGTTTTACAAGATGAAAATTTTGCAAAATGGAAATGAAATGTCAAATTCCCTTTTTAACAAGGGTTTTTGCCACTCCTGACTTGACCTCGCATAATAAATATAAATATAATTACCTGTTTCTTCCTATCCGGTTACAAATACGAAGCTACATGAATTTTAATAAAGGTGTCCTTCAGCTTCATAAATTAAAATCTTTGCGGGAAATTGCCTGCCAAGAGAAACCAAATTATTCAAAATCTCTTGAGAATAACTGATGAGCCCTGTAGGGTGAACAGATATGAAATTGCATTGGTTCACCATCGCTTTGTAAAACGTAATTTCTGAGGTCATTAAACAAATTTGCCATAAACCTTCCCGGTTATAACTTAATTGGCGGCACATCTGACACTAGAATGGATATCAAAAGTGCGATACTAAATATTTGAATCGTTCCTTATCCATGTTCATCTGCGTCGCGAACTTGCGGAATACTGAATTGAGAAGCTTTTTTTTTTAAGTTACGGACAAAGAAATGTTGAATTGATGATAAGATGATTACAAGGACTACCGCCGGGCACAGAGGCGTCAATATGCTATCATTTTGTTTACTTTTTCTTAGTAATAACTTCTAAAAAGGTACTCCATGTGTTTGCTTCAAAAGGGAGCCTGAAAAGGCTAAAACTCCATGTAGCTAACAATTCGGATCGTGATATATCATTGTAGAGCCTAACCTAAACCTCAATCTTAGTTCTCGGCTACACCATGGCCGTCATCTAATAAGCCCTTAAATTTTATCAATTCAACCATAAATCTGAATACAATCTAGCAACTAAATATTGGGAAGCTAATGGGATTTTACGGAGATTGACATTTGCTTTTACAAGATTTTTCTTTTCCGGTCATGAACCTCTCAATTTTTGGAATTTACCAGAAGTCTCAGGGCATTTACAATTTTTTTTTTTACTTTAAGTGATGTGTTCATCGGCCAGATAAAAGAACTATGTCATGTCAAATGTTCAAGAAAAAGATAATTATGAGACATGTTGGCTTTTTGTTTCGATGTTTGCTCTGCAGGAAAATTGAAGTGCTCTTTCGCGGTGTAAACTTAATTATTCTTCAAGCTACAGTTGACGAACATCTGCTCGATGTTGTGAGAAACCAAGTGAAATACATCCATGAAAAATGAAAAATTTTGTATTTTAGTTTGCATTGTCGGTCGCTAACTATATATATCGCTCTCCAAAAAATGGTTGAATTTATTTCGTTGTCGAGAGGTTCACTTAAGATTGGACGAGATTGACGGACACGAAATAAATAGCTTAAACAATTTCACTGGGGTTATTATTATCAAGATGCCCGCCGACAGAGTCACGGGCACATCAGTATTCATATTAAAGCAAACCTAATGAGATGAGCCAATGAGCTCATTAAGAATGGGCGTCTATGCTTTATGTTTCAAACAACAATCACGTTTTCGATCATTTTGAACGTACCGGCCAAACCGGCATGACTCTTAAAAATGACAATTAAGATAAAAAAGAGGGAGAAAAACTTTACTTAACAACTTTTGCTTCAAGACTAACACAACAAAACAACTAAAAGTGGTATCCACTGCTGTGAGCCCCAGCTGGCTGCATAGTCACTATGCATTTCTAACCGCTATTTAATATAACACGCAGTGGCCACAGAGTTTGCTCAGGGTGTGCGCGAAGGCGAGAAAAGGTAACACAAAATGCGGCTTTTTTCAACATTATTGTTAAAGAACACACATCTCAAGGACGCTAAAAAGCCGGCAGCTCGTTCTTTTAGTTAAGGTAAGTGTCATCTATAATTCCAATTGAACCAGCCCCCTCGCATTAATTTGACTTTTTTTCAGCGCGGTGTTGTAGTCGAAGAGACCAAGTTTGTTCCTTTTTGTTTATATTTTAAATAAGAAGCCAGCACTTAAAAACGGCAAAACATGCTTAGTTGTTTTAACATGAATTACAAATTTCACGGAGCGAAAACCAAATAAACATTTTATTATAAATCTTTTCTTGTTAATTCAAGAGATGAGTTGACTTAATTGAAATAAATCAAAATCTTTCTTCAGGCTTTGGTTTGAACATCAAGGTAATTGTCCTAAAAAGTAAGTTCTAGTTTGACATTCAATATCACCCTGATGTGTAGTCTAAAATAAACGAAATAATCGACAAACCGGCGTTGTTTAGAATTTCTATTTATTTCGACTAGACTTGCTTGGTTTTGGCGGAGGTTCTTCAGTAGCCAAAGATCTGACTATGAGCTAACCAAATACGCTTTACTTAAATCACTAATTCATGACATAAGGTACCAATCCAATATTTGAAAAATTTCACCTGCAGAAGCCTCCGGCAAGACAAGAAAAAATCTTCAATTCATCAAATCTTTAGGAATTTGACTTCTAAAAATACTTCAACCAGAATTCTCTTCTACTAATTTTCTTTATCAAAATAGCATATGTACATGGTTACAAGTCAACTTCTGAATAATTTCATTTCGACTTGTGACACTTCTCAATTGACGAACCCGGGCCGCTTATAACAGAAATAGATCGGAACGTTTAATCCTTTTTTCTCCTGGTTAGTAATTTTGAAGGTACATCAGTGTTTAGAAATATTCGTATATTCCTAATCCTGGCCAAATGTTTAACAGCCCTTATCTGACCTCGTTTTAGGTAACAGCTATTCAAAGAGGAACCCGAGTACTTAATGTATTATATACCAAAAATAATGGAGGCGAAGGCCTACACAAGGCAGGCCAGCTTCGTCACTCTTTTAGCACAAGGATACTTGGTGCTGCTGTTGACGTCCTACTCATTCTGCAACCACGAAGTTAGAGCTTACAAAGAGGGTGACGTTATGTTGGGTGGCCTTTTCAATCTTCACTTTGCTGGGAGTAATGATCACTGTGACGAACTTTTCACAATGGGGTTGGGGCACGCAGAAGCTATGATCTTCGCTATTGAGAGCATAAATGAAAATCAAAGTCTGCTACCAAACGTGACACTTGGTTATGACATAAGAAACTACTGCTAGAGCACGGCATTGGCCATGAAAATAACTTATGACTTCATGCGAGAGAGTGATACCAGCTGCATGTGTGACTGGAATGTCAGTTCTTCTGCAAAGGGTAATGCCACAAAGAACGTCAATTCCAAACCCATTTCCGCGCTTGTTGGTCCTTACAATTCCGGAAGCGCAGTATTGGTTGGAAGCTTACTTCAGGTAGCTGACATTCCTGCCATCAGTCCAACTGCAACAAGTGTAGAGTTGAGTTCACAGTTATACAAAGACTTCTTCAGGACGGTTCCACCAGACAACTGGCAGGCAAAGGTTATGGCAGACCTCATAGAGCTTTTTAACTGGACATACGTGGCGGCTGTAGGCCTGGATGACTCTTACGGTCGAAATGGTATTTGGGCACTGGAGAAAGAATCGTACAACAGGGAAACCTTCTGTGTTGCATTTTCTGAGTTTATTCCACGACTAGGCTATCAAGATAAAATCAAGCAAACTGTTGCCAAGATTAAGCTAAGGCCTAGCATTGGGGTGATCATCGTTTGGCTTTCTGGCGGTTATGGTAGAGCATTCTTCGTGGAAGCAATAAATGAAAACATTGAAGATAGGACATTAATACTAAGTGACGCCCTGACAGCCGAGGAGGCAGTCTTTCTTGACCCCCGCTTTAAAATACTAGACGGTTCTCTCGGCATACAGCCACGTGACTACCGAGATCGGGCTTTTGAGGAGCATCTCAAGATGATTACTCCGGCGAAAAGCGTTGAAACCGGGCTGGTGTGGTGGGACGAATTGTGGAGATCGCAATTCAACTGCTCAGCAACACATTCCAGAAATTCTGGTGTTGCAGTATGCGATGCAAATCTGACATCATACCATGCAGTAACTAAGATACGAAGTTCTTTCGTGTCTTACCTCATCGACGCTGTTTACGCGCTAGCTCATGCTTTGAACAGTATCTATCTCTGCCCATCCATAAAAGGTCAGTGCCCCTCCCTGCAACCTGCTGTTAAAGGAAGCGATTTACAGAAATACCTCAGAAATGTCAGTTTTAACGGTTTGACTGGAAATGTACGATTTGACAGCTCTGGCGACCCTTTGTCTGCTTCCTACGATATTATTAACTTCCAACGACGAACGACCACAGAGATAGCTCACAGAAAGGTTCTGGTCGGCGTCTGGGACAAGGATGCCAATCCTAAACTAAAGATAAATACCACCAGCTTGCGTTGGAGCCCCTTAGTGAACAATTTGTCAGGCCCAGTAGCCTTCTGTGCATCCGAATGCCTTCCTGGCACTATGAAGGCGCCTAGCACGCCATGCTGCTGGGACTGTATAACATGCCCACAGGGAACTATCAGCAGCGAGATGGGATCAAAGAGCTGTAAAGAGTGTGACGTGGAGACAAAGCCAAACAAGGAGCGCACTATGTGTGAGCATTTACCAACCATCAACATCGGTGTAACATCGGCAACTGGAATCGGCGTGATAATTGTAGCGATCATCGGATTGTTTCTCACTGCATTGGTTTGTGCATATTACGCTAAGTTCTATGAGACTCCAATTGTGAAAGCATCTAGCAGGGAAGTGTCTTTTTTACTGTTGCTTGGCATTGCGGCCCTCTTTGGTTTGTCCAGTTTTGAGCTGGCCATTCCAAGTAATTTACAATGCAGTATAGCTGCGTTCTGGCGCTATTCTGCTCTCAATCTCTGCATAACCGTGCTTTTTGTGAAGACAATGCGAATTACCAGTGTGTTCCAGGTTGATAAAGTTGCGCAGTTGTTTACTCCGTGTTTTAAGACCGTAACGAGACAAACCATTCTTATATCTTTGATGAACGTTTCCGCCCTTTTATTGCTAGCACTGTGGATGTGTGTTGATCCTCCTGGGCGTGAAAAGATCATCCGATCAGATGAGCACATCTTTCTGGTGTGTAAATTGTTCTACAACAAAAACGGATTCTCACTGTTCCTAACTGTGTGTATCTACACGTTAATAATCGCTCTCTTGTGCACGTACTATGCCTTCAAAGCAAGGGGCATTCCCGAAAACTTCAATGAGGCAAAGTACATAGGATTTTCCATGTACATTTTGTTGCTTTCCTCGCTGGCATATTACCCAGTGGCGTTTGCTTTTGAGAGCTGGTACGTGACTCTAGTGTCTTGTTGCACTACGTTAGTGATTTCATTTGGGTTTCTCAGCTGTATGTTTGGACCCAAAGTCTACATTCTTCTTTTTCATCCTCAGCAAAACACCATGGAATCCGTCAGGTCGCAAGTATCACAATATTCGTTTCACGTATCACGCACAAAAGTTTGGGCTAAACCCGTCGCCTTGGGAAAAACTAATAGTGCTTTCGAGCTCAGCAAACCAGAATGATAAGGGAGCCTTCGTTTACCACATAAAGTTAATTCATATTCATATTTACTTGTAGACGCGACTCTTCAACCTAGACCATTTGTTATATAATACATATCTACACATTTTAACCATGAAAAAACCTTAAAGATTATCAAGTGGTCAGCGGATAACTTTGAGGAATAACCATATTCGATTAAACGCCGGATCCCGATTAAACGCTGGTCTCGAAAAAAACGCCGGGTCAAAACTGCCGATTTTTAAATCAAAGCCTGGGGCGTTTGATGAGGGCCCCGGCGTTTGATCGAGGTCCCGGCGTCTATTTGGGGTCGAGGTCACAAGCCACCGGCTACAAGTAAATATAATCTTTTGAGCAGCATTGTTAAGGCGTACAAGTACATTATGTTATTTGGCGGTATTTTAATGAACGTTCAGAGGAAAAATACCAACGTAACAAAAGTAGGATGGATGCTGTACAACAAAATGTACAGTACCATATAATATTGTAACTTTGAGTAAGGTACTTACGGTAATCATCCTCGGAGATCCAGGGACAGGATGGAAAGAATAATCATCCCACCCGCCCTGAGAAACTGTCCCTGGTCTCCGCGAATCGGTAATAATATCTCAACCTGAAAAAAAGCTAAAATCTTTATTAACATATATATGACCTATTTACATTCCACTATCATAGGCTAAAATTTTGATGAGATAAAAATATTAAAAGATCGTAAAACACTAATTTACAAGCTCACGCCTTTATAGACTTTCTAAAACTGCGGACACACTCTTGGCTAGCTTTTAAGCGGCAATCATCATATCACCAATTTACATTCCATTATCATAGTTTAAAATCTGTGATCTAAGAATCTAAAACCTGAAAAAAAATAACAGAAACGGCCTCGAAAAAACGCCGGCTCAAAAATGCCGTGATACAGGTTAGCTTTTGCCCATTTTGGGCAGAAGTCGGTTGCCCTAGGTATCTAACTTGAAGGGCCTAATGCCAGCTTGGGAAGTGATGATGTCTTGGTTGCGAGTAAAGTGCGGACTAGCTGAAGGTTGCAGAATGGTTATCAAGGCCCGACAAGGGCTAACAGGGGAAGGCTGGTCAGGAGCTTAAAGGGACTGACAAGAAATGCCAGATACTGAAAAGAGAGGCCAGGTACTGACATGAGCCGTAAGGAACTGACAGGTGCTATCGGGAGCTTACAACCGCTGACAGGGGATTACTGGACAAGGACTAAAGGCCCGGACAGAAGAGCTAACGTAGGGCTGACGAGGAAATATTATTTGGTGCGTTGGTTGTTACAAGCGACGGCCTAAAAGACTACAAGCACATGCTCGTACAGAGCTTTTCAAACAGCTTAACGAAAATAAACCAAAATTAACGTTTTCCCTTCATAACTAACGGTGGTGAACAAGACGGACCAAACGGGGGCCGTGAAGCTCTCAGAAACTTACTCAAGTACATAAAGGTTAGAAACAATAGATGACCCAAACGACCCAAAACAATGTCACTGGCCCCAAAAACAATGACAGGTTACAACAGTTTCCATATTTGACAAGGATTAATGGTTCACACAGAGCTAACCTAGGGATAGCAAAAGAAAAATAAATCAAAATAAACTCTTCCCACCCACAGATAACGGTGGTGAACAAAACGGAGCAATAGGATGGAATTGAGCTCTCAGAAGTTTTTTTTAGATCCGATAGCAACAATAGATGAATGACCCAAGCGATGTTCCTGGCCCTAAAAACAATAACAATGACAGTGCGTTTTCCAAGGTCAAAGAAATAGAAGTCTCTAAGAGCTTCGTGGCTCCAGGAGGAACACATGCAGACCCTACAACCGCCATTTAATAAAACACGAAAGTGACTTAAGAGGTACCCGTGCTGTTTTCCGATTGCTATCAAGCGGTAATTATTGTCCAATATATATATTTATCTAAAAAAGAAAACATAGCGGTGGGCATTTCCTTTGTTTTCTATTCACGAATAATTAATGACAGTTGAGGCAGGGGTGATGCGTTTCTGTTAGCATAGAATGGTTTAATCATTTTTGTCACTTTGAAGTGTTTTTAGTTTTCTACTTGGAGGCAGTGAACTGATTTCAGCTAGAGATTAAATCGAGGGCTTTTTCGTTTTCTTTAATTTCTGACTGTAATTGGGACACTTAAAAGAGAAACTTTTTGAGCCTGAAAGGTGAAGAAAACATATTCTTGTGGCCACTAAAGGTAAGAAAATATTGGTTACTGAGGGGAAAGATGTTGTTTTCGAAAGGTTCAATGGCAGAGCATCTTTTGTAATTAAAAGCAGAACGCACTTAATCCAAGAAAGAGTTAAAATGATATCATTTACAAAGGTTAGCAACAATACAAAGAAAAACAAATGCAAAAAAGCCTCTGCCAATGTCAGTTCTTATTGCAAAGGATATGATAACGAATTGAGGCCACTGTTTGGACGTTCTCTTCCTTAATCAGTAAAACCCGGTGAAATCGTCATTCTTCACTCATAACATCATTTAAAACCGAACCAAAATTGGTAATCATTGACAAGATTTGCCTAGAATTAGAGGAGAAACGGCAAAAAATAGTTTGTCTTCGTTGTTGCTGTTGCCTACCCAATGCTTAGCCCTTGACATACACGCTGGGCCATGTTGTTTAAAGTCGTTGCAAAGAGAAATTTAAAGAAAAAGGAAACGGAGGAAATAATGATGCATGATTATATTACCTACCAGAAAGACAAATACAAAACATCGAGTAAATATGTAACAGTTATTTGAAAAATTTTTTAAAAAAGTAGGAATAGAGGAAAAGAGGCAAAACAAAACTTTGACATTTGACATTTTAGAGGCCATCTCTGTCAGTTCCCTCTATTTATACGTAATCAGTCACATGGCTGGGCTTAACTTTTTGTGGGACGAAGGAAGTACTTTAATTTTTTTAGGGTTTTCTAACGTTATGAGTACTGGTCTGGCCTCTGAGATCAAACCTCAGACAAGCCCTCTTAGCCAATTGTGACGGCCCTGAATATATCGGTAAGAAAATAGAAGACGAGGAAAAAATGCTTTTTAGTTAATAACGAAGTTGTCCCGGCAATGTAAAAAGCGACGACAACGAGAGGTTGAAATAATAAGAGCAAAGAGTTAATTGCATGAATTTTTCAAAGGGAATGATTGTTCTTAACGAAACGAATAACAACAGGCAATAGATTTTTTTAATTAAAATTATAGTAGTTGGTCCAGTTGATCACGCAAGCAATGTGTGAGAGTACTTGTCTCATAAATACATACATACATGTACTTTATTTATGCTCGAAATTTACAGAGTAGCTGTAGAGCTAATATCTTCGAGCAAATATGTTAAAATAAAATTAAATATGCTATATAACAATTCCAATATTATTTATAAACTATATACAACGTTATACATGCAGAGGGGAATATAACTTGTAGATCCTTTGTGGAAAAGCTTCAGTTGTCTCAGTTGCATTATTGAAATGCTTTTCAACGGCACAATTTTAAGATAAATTGCAAGGAAGACAATTTAGGGGGAATTTCGCCTTAAAAACAAACATCTAATGGCGACTCCATCAATCTTTGTTTTCTAGCCTCAGAAGCTAAAAGAAATTTTATTGAAGATGCCCGAAAGTCTACCCACTTGACATTAATTTCCTTTTCAATTAAAGAGCACCCTAAGAACGAATAAACATTATTAATAATTTACTCTCACATTTTCACCTGGTCTTAATATACTTTATTTTCAACCAAAGTGGACGCTAATTTTCTACCAGGTAAAATCGCTCTCATCTTCGCGCGCACATCATGGATAACCCCTTTGAAAAGGACTTCTTGATGTAAAACAAAAGTTTGGCTTATTATGGAGAGCATGTTATATACCACGGACGCCACAATTTGTCAGTAGCAAATGTTGCTACATAAAATAGTTTTTAACATAACGATTATTTTATTCCAGGCGGCACTGAGGATAAGGACGATGACTTGGACAAGAGAGGCTTTCCTCTGCGTCCTACGACTGCCTCTGTTCGTTTTGCTATTTGAACACTGTAGATCTTGCACCCAAGGGTTGAGAGCCTATAAAGATGGCGATGTAATGTTAGGTGGCCTATTTAGTCTTAACATGGCTGGCAACGATTATCAATGGGGTGACTTTTCCGCTAAAGAACTTGGACGCGCCGAAGCTGTTGTTTTTGCAATTAACAGTATCAACAGGAATTCCACTCTTCTTCCAAACGTGTCCCTCGGTTACGATATAAGAAATTATTGCGACAGCAGTGCGGAGGCCATGCAGATAGCTTATGACTTCATGCGTGGTAGCGATCCAGTATGTATGTATAAATCGAACTCCACAACGTCCGTAAAGAGTAGTTTCAATAGGTGGCTGGGATCCAAGCCCATCTCAGCGCTTATTGGTCCTTACAATTCCGCCAGCGCAATCCTGGTGGCAAGCCTTCTTCAGGTTTGTGACATTCCCGCCATTACGTCAACTGCAACTAGCACAGAGTTAAGTTCACAATTTTACAAAGACTTTTTTAGGACAGCCCCTTCTGATAGGTGGCTAGCAAAGGCCATGGCAGACATCATAGACCTCTTTGAGTGGACATACGTGGCGGCTGTGGGCTTAGATGACTCTTATGGACTTAATGGGATTTTGGCGCTGGAAAAAGAGTCGTACAGCAGAAGCACGTTCTGTATTGCTTTTTATGACTTAATCCCACGCCTGGACCACCGCGAGAAGATAGAGCAGACAATTGCCAAACTTAAGATGCACCCTAAAATCGGAGTGATCATCGTTTGGCTTTATGGCAAATATCTTGAAACATTTTTTGTTGAGGCAAACAAAGTAGAAATGCAAGGAAAGACCTTGATACTAACAGACGGAAACAGCATCGAAGAAACATTTCTCCTGGATCCCGGCTTCAAATTGCTTGAAGGTTCTCTAACAATAGTTGCATACGACTATCCTGTTCAGTCTTTTGAGGAGCATCTTAAAAGGGTCACACCTGCAAAAAGTGATGACGGTGGCGTGCAATGGCGAGGAGAACTTTGGAGATCACAATTTAACTGTTCAATTGCCAAATCAATTGATTTAGGGATTGCACCTTGCAAACCAAATCTCACGTTTCACCTTGCGCTTTCTGAGTTACGAAGTTCCTTTGTATCGTATGTCATCGATGCTGTGTACGCCATTGCACATGCCTTGGATAACATTTACCGCTGTATCGCTGAACAAGGTTTTCGGAATGCAAGTAGGTGTCCTTCTATCAATCCGACCGTTAACGGATATGATCTACAGAAATACCTCAGAAACGTCAGTTTTGATGGTCTAACTGGAAAAGTGCAATTTGATAAGTTTGGGGATGCTTTGTCTGCATCATACAGCATCTTAAACTTCCAACGTTCATCAGCCACAGACAAATATCTCAGAAAGGTGCAGGTGGGGACTTGGGACAAGAACGCGATTCCTAAACTCAGGCTAAATACATCACTTTTGCGATGGAAAAGATTCTCAAATCCGGTATCTTTCTGTTCATCTGAATGCTTACCAGGCACTAAAAAGGAAATGACTTTGCCATGTTGTTGGGACTGCATTAGGTGTCCACAAGGAACTATCAGCGCCAAGAACGGATCCGACAACTGCACAAAGTGTGAATCAGATGCAAAGCCAAACGAGGAGCGCACACTGTGTGAAAAATTACCAGTCGTCAACATCAAGCTCACAACCACCGTTGGAATCATCCTAGCGGTGATTTCTTCCATCGGATTTGTTTTCACATTGTTAGTTTGCGGCAGCTACATGAAGTTTTATAGCACCCCAGTTGTGAAGGCTTCTAACAGAGAGATCTCTTGTCTGTTGCTGTGTGGAATTTCATTCCTCTTTATTCTTGCGGTTCTTGAACTTTTGGAACCCAGAAATTCTCTTTGTAGTGCCAAAACCTTCTGGCGCTATTTTTCTCTCAATCTTTGTGTCACAGTTCTGTTTCTGAAAACGATGCGAATAACAAGCGTGTTTGAGGTTGATAAAGTGGCGCAGTTGTTTGCACCGTGTTGCAAAACCTTTACAAGGCAACTCATTTTTCTTTCAGTCATGAATCTAGCTTCCATTTCTTTACCTGCCCTGTGGATCTTTTTCGATCCCCCAAGCCGTAAAAATATCATCCGCTTCGAAGAGTACGTCTTTCTTGTGTGCAAACCATTTGAGACCAACATCGGGCTCGCCCTGTTCGTCGCAGTCTGCGCTTACACGTTAACTGTAGCCCTCTTGTGTACGTATTACGCTTTCAAAGGAAGAAACATTCCAGAAAACTTCAACGAGACAAAATACATAGCATTTTCTATGTACATTCTCCTACTTTCATCAATAGCATATTACCCAGTGGTGTTAACGTTTGAGAGCCGGTACGTAACACTGGTGTCTTGCTTTACCACATTAGTAACATCGTTTGGTTTGTTGGGTTGCTTGTTCGGGCGCAAATTTTACGTTCTTCATTTCCGTCCCCAGCAAAACACCGTGAATTACGTCAGATCGCAGGTGTCGAACTTCTCGTTTAACATCGTATCCGGAGCTAAGGCCTCAGAGGTTTAATTCCACTAAACCCCATGAGTTGTCAAGAACACATAATTAAAGAAAACAGTGCTTTTTGAATTGTCCAACAAAATACCTAAAAACGGACAAAACGGGATTCCTTATCAAGGGTTTCTCGAGAAATATTTGTTGTGACGTTTGTTGTAATCATTTGTCAATGCAGCCGGGAGGCAACGCTTCCCGTTTCCTTTTGCACGAGTAGATATTGTACTGATGCAAAACGTGAGAAATATTTTTTTTGCAGATAGTGTATTTTGAGATTAGTGCAGGAAAAAATATCGATAACTATTTAGGTTTCCCTTTATATTAATCAGATTGTTCTTTTTTTTTTGGAGAGGATAAATAGGATGCTGATAATTTCTTCCTGTTGTGTGCACTTGTCTTGAGAAAAAAGTTGGCTTTCAAATTCAAAATTTTTGATAGTATGTTTTGTTAATAACACATTATAACCACTTACCTCTGTTGACGTCCTCCTCGTATATATCTAATTTTGGTTATGGTAAATTCAATTCATAATAATATATTGCTTGCCAATACCTCTTATTATGCTCGAAGATTCTATTTAAAGTTTAGGTTTTGCGGGTGACGGAAAGCTTGCCTTTTCCCATTTGAAGTAGAGTAGGGTATTCAAAATGTGAGAAACGTTTATTTACGTATTTATCCATTATTTACTCGTTAACACAACAACAAATTTTAAGGTAAATTTAAACTAAAGAAAAATCTGGTCCAGACCCCGTCAAAAAGTCGGGGACAGTTAACTGCTAAATTTATAAATAAAAAAAACTGGCGTTTTCAGAGGGCTATAGGCACCTGTGGCACTGTGAAAACTCCAGTGTTTCTTTATAACATTTAGCAGTACCTGTACCACTTTTTCTGATGGTTGTGGATCCATTTTGCTGTCGTGTAAATGGCCCTTAAATATCTTCTCTTCGCAATGATAGCTTTTGTAAGCTAATCGACACTGGAAAAGAAAAAAAGAGAAAAGAAAACAAAATTTTTAAGCGTTACAAGGAGATACAAAATATTTAAAAATAATTGACAGATGTACATTACCGGCAAGTTTCTTAATTTATCTAAAAAGTGGATGTATAAACCTAAATTAATCCTACAATTTTAGAAAAGAAGAATAGGCTCATTTTAGGAAGCCTTTGTGTAAAAGAGGGTTCAAATTCATCCAGAAAGGAAATACTATTCCACTTTATATTCTTACACCGAATCTATAAAATGTGTTTTTTCCAAAAATTATTTCCCCAAGTCTTTGAAACCTAGTAGTCTTTTCTGTCCTATCGGAGACGCCATGCATAATAAAACAGATTGATTTAAAGATTAAAAATCCAGTGGGACGATATGGATGGTGCGCAGTGGGCATGCATTCAACTAATATAGGAGGGCTTTTTTGTATAATTTTAATTATCCGGTTCCCCAAGATGTATTAATAGAGCAACTTGGCCCCACATAGCAATATCATAATCTATATACGCGGCGGGATCAAAGATCGATGTATGTCCATAGAAATAGTGCCAGGAAGACGTAATGTCTTAAATTTTGCAAGAATTCCAAGAGATCATGCTGCTGATCTCTAATGCTTCACGGGGTGATGCTTCCAAGTGAGCTTTGGGTCAAAAAGAATGAAAAGGTACTTATCATAGTCTTTCCTTTGTAAGGAAATGAAGGAATTTACATCATCGCGTCTTAAGGTTTTATGTTTACAATGAAATCAATTTGTTTTTAATTAGTTACAATCAAATAGTCATAAAATTTGATTTTGGAGATTTAATTGTTTCCCATCAGCCAAGACGTGCATAACCACTATATATACTGATCTACAGTGTAAAAGGCCTTTTTTTAAATCGTTAAATACGCAACAGGACTATATTAATCTCTTATCAATATCATGACTTATGTGTTATTGACAATGTTATTAAAGTTGTGTTGGGTGGAACAGGCCCTTAAACTTTAAAGCCATATTGAGACTGAGAGATTATATAACGTGTTCATCAATAAAAGAATAAATGATAGACAAAGTGAACTTGGTCTGCAGTTATTCGGGTTATTATATTTAAATACTGGTATTACTTTTACCACCTAAAACTTTGAAGGATCGGTGGCTTTCTGGGTTGGCCTTTCTAATTAATATACTTAAGGGTAACCTTTAGGATTCGATCAGGGCCGGCAATATAGCCCTAGGGCTTTATTTGAAGAGAGAGAATTTATTTAAACTTCACATGGTAAAGTACCGTTTATAGGGCCCGTTTATGTGGAGGAAAGTTGCTCTGGGAAAGACCGTCACCCTCCCAGAAAGTTCAACTTTACCTAGCGTATATATGAGCAAAATTGTGACCTTTTGCCCGAGACAAGAGCTAACATCAGCACTCGCGCATTCCCTGATGAACTTGCATTGGCTCGACTGAATTGACGATCCGGCTGGCCATACATGAGCCACAACAGTTTTATGAGGAGAAAAGGCGGGTCTTCCTCATAGCTGAGCCAACTTCTTGGTTCTCATTTAAACGGTTGGCCTAGTTTTGTAACGAAATGTATGAAAAGTTGGCTCGCCATGGCAGCTTGCAGTATTGTAAGTGCTGATAGAAATCCAAAAAAACTAAAATATTTGCTACAATATGAAAATTTACGTTTTCCCTTTTGAAGTAGTCAACATAGTTATACAAAAATTGAGATATGACGTTCAGGACAAAAATGCCCAAACTAATTTTGTCGCCAGTTGTTTATTCTAAGATCTACGTCATGTTGCTTTTATTGGAACAGGAAAAACACCCGTAAGGGGTAATGCTCACTATATTCGTAGTTCGTTTTAGGGAAAATAAATGTGATGTTGATCATTTCTTGTGGTTGTATTTTACTTTTTGAGAGTTAATTGGTTTTTCAACTCAAAAATAGTCGATAGTGTTTCTCGTGAGTAACCGCAGCTTCGTCATCTGTTTTTTTCCAAGTTCGTTGTTAGAGGAACGGTGTGATCCAGTTGACAGAATCGATCGCTGTGTGCTGAAGAATTTTCTGGAGGAATGTCCTGAAATCTTCTGCGGAACAAAGGTAAATATCACCGCTACTACTGTGTTGCAGTAGATTATTTTACCATATGGTTTTAAGGCCACCTGCTAAACGAGAACATGCAAACAATTCGTCCAACATTGTATCTGTTATACACAACATTCTCTCCGTACAAAACCCTTGACTGACAAGCACCAATGCCTTTAAATACTACCATCCTACTAACAGAAATACAACGACCCATTTAACCTACTATTAATTTTAAGTCGCATCTGCTCCATTGATGATTTCTTATAGCCAAATTCGTTGTATGGCGCTGCGTGTGAATGGGTTTTTTCTTTTCCGTCAATCATTTGAGTTGGGTTGCTCCTAATGCAAATCACAATTCAACGTTCTCGCCCAGCTTGGCGCGCAGAAAGAAAATTGAGAATGACCCTAAACTGCTCAAGAATAACGAAGGAAAACGCGATGATGAGTAGAATTTTTGTTGAGGGAACGAGGTAGATATTGCTTTATTCTTGTAAGAGACAAGAATAAGAAAGATCATAAAATTAGTTTCGAAGAAAACTAGTCGATCATTGCCTAAAACTGTGCGAAACACGGCGATCACAAGCAGCGAACCTTGAAACACAGAAACAAACAAAGGTCCGCTAAGATGATTGACGGAACAGAAAAACACAAAATTCCTTCAAAGTCTGCAAACTCGCAGCGCGATACAACGAATTTAGCTATAATAACCGCTGCCACGAAGTTATAGACTTTCTGGAATAAAAAGAGGAATCAACAGTCGCCGCTTTCTAAAATTTAGCTACTGCGTAAGCGACATCCAACGTAAACTCTTAAACGCCCACGAACACAGCGGAACACCTCAGACAGAGCACATTTGTCATCCCATGTCCAACTCCAGCTTGGTCTGCTTGTGCAGGGAAGACGCAGGAAGAGGAGCCAGGGTGCTTCCCCCTTACGTTTTGTGCTAGTGTGGCCGAGCGGTTTAAGCGTTGGACTTGTAGTACAATACAAAACACTTTATTACGACTCCTCTTCACGGGGCTACTTTGTTGTAATATAGAATAATAACAAATATAGAATAATAACAAATATGTTGTTCGGGGACCCCGACTTCAAGTCCTTTCCTGACCGCTAGCTGGATTAGTTCTCGGCAGTCCCTAGTTCAAATCCACGACCACAACCGGTTTGCCTCACTATTATTATTATTATTATTATTATTATTATTATTACTATTATTATTATTATTATTATTATTATTATCAATTCATTGTTATTATCATTATTATTTTCAGAAAGATATAATATTTCCTTAAGTTGTTCAGTTTCACCAGATACCTTTTCTCTATTCTAGATTTAATAAATGTAATAGAGAAGAATTACAAATGTATTAAGCAGAGGTTACTTTTCCTCGAAATGAACTGGCGTACATGCACTACCACTGCTCGTTGAGAATTGGCTGAGCATAAAAAAAAAAACCGAAATTTATTTTTCATCCGGAGCTCAGATGTTAACGATGTTTAAATACATTACGAAAGTAAGGAAAATCCTTTTTTTTTGGCATTCATTCTTCTATCAGCTTTATTTTTAGTTCAATGCGGACATAACGATCAAGGTAGCAATATCGTGTAACCATTCTCTCGTGAGTGGTACTACTAGTCAAAGATTAATACAAGTATTAGAAAAGAATAACAATTGTAGGTGAGTAGAGGTTACTTTTCCTCTAATTGACTGGCGTACATGTACCACTGCTGGCAGAGGTATTTAGCTAAACATAAAAAGCACTTAAAAAAAACTCATAAAGAAAAAACAAAGTAAATTAATGTTTAATGAGTGTATTTGTATCAGATTTTTAACACCAAAATAACCCCAAATCTAAATATATTAGTGTAAGAATGAGTTAATCTATATCAGGGATTTTGATGCCGTTCAAAAAACTCGCGGTAGGGTATTATCAGGTTTTTGACTCTTGCTCGTTTTTCAAACAGTAAGAAATTCATTATTATTTTTTTTCTGACATAGATATATGTTAAAGATATTTTAATACATTGCAATCAGCTTTTGAATTAAGTTGCCAACGTACGAAGCAAAGGAAAATGTCCTTTCTTTGGCATCCGTTCACATCAGTTTTATTTTTGGTTCAATGAGGACATATGATCAAGGTAGCAATATCATGCAACCTTTGTCGCGTGAGTTTTGTAAGTAAAATTGTTTTTCATGATAAGGTTGATACCAAACTGAAGATTAGGTAATCCTCTGCATCGATCCTAGCTTACAGACATCCAACCTGTAGTCACATGAACCTGCATAACCACATAATGGCTGTTGAATTGTCTCAGACTGTTTCTTTTTGGGGATATATCATTTTGTTCTTTGCCAAACGAAATCTGTTATCTGCGTCGCAAACCTAAAACAAAGGGGCATGGAAGCCTGTAGCACCACGACCTACCATGGACCTCCTCGATCCTGCTTTTCTATACAAAGCAGCAGCCCCGCACATGAAATACTGTTGCGTGCGCGATATTGTTAGAGGAATGTTCGAAAACTCTACACTCAACCGAAAACCACCATATGGCGTTCAAACAACTTGATGACGTCCGTCTTGAATCACTTCCGTTTTCAACTACCTCCCACCACAGAGATTCTAAGTTATCCTTATCTATTTTTAATGTTTTCAATCCGAATTGTTTAGACAAGATAATTAAAAAGTCGTCAACAAATTAAATTTCGCCTAGTGTATATTTTTTTATACATCGCTACAGGACAAGACCGTGGCAATCTGAACCATTTGATGAAAAATTACTTAACTCAGCCACTGATGAAGCAATTATTCAGTCCGAAAGTCACAAAGGTAAACGTTTGTGACGTTTTCTTCCATTTTCTGGCATAACAACTTAGTGTTGAAGGTATGAACGAAATTAACTCACGATTTACACATGGTCTTGCGGTCTTCTAAGGTAAGCCAAGCCTGAGATTATAAAATCCAACCACGTGCGTTAATTGAAACAGCTTTCCCTATATGAAGAGCTTTTGTTTGTAATCGAGTGGACTCTATAAGTTGTTGGCGTTTATTTGTTACACTCATTGCGTTCCTTTGATTGTGTTAAGAACAAACAAGGGTACAATTCCTAAAAGTCAACTCTAAGATTACTCACAAAGCAATAAAGATGACCAGATAAATGAGGTGAGAATTTTAAAAAGTTCTAGCGAATTTCCGGCCTTGGGTCAAATCAAGAGAGGATAATGGGGACAGAGAAGGCATCCCCCATACACACCCTATTTGATAGGTAATTCGTCTCGAGTTATTTTTAAGACCACAGATCCCAAGGGGGATTAGACAACAGCCAATCACATAGCGCGAATGTGTTCCGCGTGGATGACCCACGCTCAGAGCCACGCGTTCTTCACGAACTGACGCAGAACACACTGGCGGAAGACACGGAGAGCGATATTGCTATTCGTTTTGTCGACGAAAACGACTACAGAGAGATTTCTGCTAAAGCTGTGTCAGCGGAACGGAAACTCAAAAAGAATCGCCCTTCTTCTCTTGTATAGAGCTAACAGTACGGCAGGGAAATCCTTAACACACTGAATATTCTCTCAGGATCATTTATAATCTACAGTTTGAAGAGAGCAATTTCTGGTTTGATATTTGTTCTTTTATTAGTCTTTTATTATTCAACAAAAATAACACTTGGCGTACCACTTGCTTTATTGAACAAACGACCAGTTTCATTAGACCGGCGAAATTTCTCATTTTATTAAAGCACTGAGGTTACGACAACTTCGAGTTAAACTGATTTCACGGGTTGTTAAAGAGTCCAACGATTCCCTTTTCCCCGGTGAGCGCCGTCTCATTTCGCTTAAATATTCAGGAATGCTCTCGATCTCTTTACGCTTTCATTGCCTTTCTCCTGACATGTTTTGCACGGCGTTTATTCGTGCGAACCTCCACGAAACATCCACGCTGCGCGCGAGGTAACTTAATCGCGATTCTAAAAATAACTCGAGACGAATTACCTATGAAATAGGGTGTGTATGAGGGATTCCTTCTCTATCCCCTTTATCCTCTCTTGGTCAAATTCATTCACAGTTTCTTCCGGCAGCAATTGTGAGTAAATGTTCTGAAAGGGAATTCCAGGGTGATTCACATTTGATATCGTATCTTAATCTAAGTAGGTTTAAATTGCAGTAAGCCCGTGATGCTGCCTTATATCCTTGAATTCCTCCAAATTTTATGACAGCAAATAGTCAAAATAGGACACATTGTCAATGCATTGACAGAAAAGTAGTATACATAAGATCCCAATAAAGGAGGTGTGTTGAAGCCACAAATGTAATCACTTGACCACAAATGTAATAAAGCCCTCAAATGTAATAAAAATTGACCTCAAATGTAATAAAACCGTCAAATACTATCCAAACCATATATATACTCGAAAAAGTGTCACCCTTAATTTAAATTTAAGAAGGAGAATTCAAACGCCAGAAAGCTCAAAAACAAGCACCGTAGCGCTCTTTCGAAAAAATTCCATTGAATTTAATCCAATATCCTCACACGTGAAAGATAAAAAAGTATCTTCACTGTGCGCGATGAGGATATGATTTTTTAGTAAAAGGAAAAATCCTGGTATTTCATCAGTAGCTATATAACAATTATTTATTTTCATCACTAATCTAAATACCATACTCTTTAGAAGAAATGAAAGTTAAAAAAAAAACGAGGTTTAAACTCATAACAATATGCTCCAAGCCTACATCAGCAATGGTAATGAACATCTTAAAAGGTTTAATTTGATAAACAAAAATTAATAAGCCCTGCCGTATTGCTGGGAAATGCAGCACTCTCGCTTGATTGGGTTGAATGTAGGAGAAAAATATGTTTATTCGAAAGAGTGCCGAGGCGTATATTTATTCAGTCTTCTTCCTCTCATGTGCGACTCTTACTCGGAGGGCCATGTTGATTAAATGCAGTAAAAATTGTATTTGACGAAAGAGCGCCGCGGCGCCTTTTTGTTTTTGATGCCAAGGCTATTCAGGTTGACGCTCTTTCGATTAATTGCGATAGGATATTGTGTTTTTCGAAAGAGCGCCAAGGCGCTTATTTTTGTTCGACTTATATTGAGGGCGGCGTTCTGTCGAGGATATACGACTTGAATAGCATTTGCCGGGTTACATTTGCGGTCAATTTGTATTACATTTGAGTGCATTATTACATTTGTGCTAAATTTTTATTACATTTGTGGGGGTTATTACGTCAATTTTTACATTTGTGGCTTCAAGGTGAAAACCAACGTTGCTCTATTTTCTAGTGAGTTTGGTTTCGTACTTGTAAGAAACTCTTGGCACTATGTTCCGCGTTCGACCTAACGTCAAATCCTTCTAAGAAGGACCCCTGTGGGTTGACGTTCTTAAAAAAACAGTTATAAGTGAACGATTTTGAACAAGTTTTAAAAGATGAGATGGCCAGTTGTGTAGTAAAGAATCTAAACGTGCCACTTGCCCGACTGATTGATACTTCTAGCAAACTGACAACTTTGGAGGTTCATTCCTGTTGAAACTTCCTTTACCAATTTGAAATTAATTTACACTGAATTAACAAAAGAGATCTGGAAATTACAAAACCATTCTTGTAAAAAATCTCTTTGTGTTCAAATCTTTTTCGCAGAGGTTCTCGTAGTAATGTGTACTTTGAATAGAAAAATAAAAAAGAATTAGGTTATGGGCTCTTTCCTCTGCAGAGGCCTCTTTGTGTCTTAGGGGTGTTAGGGAGAAGGTAAAAATAAAGCGCAGCGCAGGGAGGGAGATCGGAAGGACAAACAGACAACGAAAGGCCTTCCCCTTTTTAAAATTATTTCTCTTTTTAGTATAACAGAAACAGGTAAATAAGAGCAAAAAAGGCGACGTTTTGATGTCATCGTAACGCCTTTACTATGTAAACTATATAGAACATAAATCATTCAAATGTATTTAAAGAGTTTCGAGCCTAGAATAATTAGCATGCTAACAAAGGTAAATTCCTTAAACAAATACTTTAGCATGCACGAGTCAATTTTCTAGTTCAAGGACGGTGTATGATTGCGAATAAAAAATATCTATTTAATGAGACAGTCGAATTTTATGTTGCGTTTTCCAAGCACGTGGAACTTGTCACGAAGGCACATAAGTTTGGTGTTGCTGCATCGTGTTCATTTACAAAGTGTTTGTAAATGGGTGACGATTTCTGTCTGCGACCATCAAACGTGTTCATGCAGGTGGCACCGATTGTATCCCATAATTGTATCTTGCATCACACAGGTTACATTGAAGCATAAACAGCACATTAGTAGGCTTGATTTCTTGCACATTAAAGTCTTCATTTAATTTGTTGCTGATGAACATCGGTTGGATCACGTTTTTAGCCTTTAAGCCAACTGTTAAGACGGTATTTGACGAAAAAGTTATTTTAAAGTGCGAGAAATAAGGCCCCCAGTTGTGTTGCTTAGAAGTTTTAATGTAACCAGTGTAGTGCAGGATACACGTTGAAGCGCTACCTGCATTAATGCGTTCGTGTTTAAGTCCTTGTTTAGGGGAAATTAACTTTGTTGATATGCTAATTATTGGAGACTCGAAACTAAGTTGAATGTATTCGAATTATTTGTCACTTTATTTATAGTCTTTACACTGCCCTTACAATGACACCGAAAAGTCGACTCCTACATCTTACTCTCGTTTTTTTCTTGTTTCTTTTTCACTTTTGATCATTTTTATTTTCATTGGAATACCCAGTAGCCCAGCCTCTGCGCGAAAATAGAGTTATGGCACCTTAATACAATTTTTCTCAATACATATTTGACCGTAGTTGGGTTCTTAATTGCGGACAAGGTTCTTCCTTGAAACTGTTGGCAGGATTAAATTTATTTCGATGATTCTTTCAGGGCGAACCGCACAAAAAAAAATGACGTGGTCGAAAAAGGAAGTGCTGTGGTGCATCTTGAGACCTTCACTCCTTATAATGCTGTTTCTTCAACAAACAACTTCTAATCATGACTGCAAAACCTATAAAGATGGCGACGTAGTAATTGGTGGTATGCTCAATATCCACTATTCTGAAACTGGTGATCAATGTAACAGGCTTTCTACAATAGGACTAGGAAACGCAGAGGCTATAATCTACGCCATTGAGAGAATTAACAAGGACTCCACTCTTCTACCGAACGTAACAATCGGCTACGACTTAAGAGACTGTTGTCGAAGCCATGCATTGGCCATGAAGATAGCCTATGACTTGATGCGTGAGGGTGATCCAGTGTGCATGTCTAATCAAAAAGACAGCCTATCACCCAATGACTACGTCACAAACAACAGACCCAAGTCCATCTCAGCACTTGTTGGTCCTTTCAGTTCTGGAATTGCGGTGCTAGTAGGAAGTCTTCTTCAGGTTTCCGACATTCCTGCTATCAGCCCGAGTGCAACAAGCGTGGAGTTGAGTTCACAAATGTATAAAGATTTTTTTAGAATAGTTCCACCAGACAACTGGCAAGGAGAAGTTATGGCAGACATCATAGAACGCTTTAACTGGACATACGTGGCGGCTGTCGGTTTAGACGATTCTTATGGACGGAACGGTATTTCGGCGCTCGAAAAAGAGTCCTACGACAGAAAAACCTTCTGCATTGCTTTTTCCGAGTATATTCCGAGACTAGGCAGTGGGGAGAAAATCAAGCAAATTGTTCTCCATATTAAACGGAAGACTGAAATCGCAGTGATCATCGTTTGGCTTTCTGGTGGTTACGGAAGAGCGTTTTTTGCAGAAGCAACAGCTCAAAATCTTGAAGAAAAGACTTGGATACTTAGCGACGCACTAACCGCTGGGGAAGCAGTATTTCTTGAGTCTCACTTCACAATACTTAACGGATCTTTAGGAATAAAGCCACGTGACCACCACGTTCCTGATTTTGAAGAGCACCTTAAGATGATCACCCCCGCAAAAAGCGTTGAAAGAGGAACAGTTTGGTGGGAAGAGTTCTGGAGATTACAATTCAACTGTTCAGCCACGAAATCCAACGATTCTGGGATCGCACCTTGCGAGACAAATCTGACGTTACATCATGCCCTACCAAAGGTGCGCAGCCCCTTTGTATCCTATCTCATAGACGCTGTTTATGCTATTGGACATGCTCTGGATAACATTTACAGCTGTTCTCCTACTACACATGGTGTTGGCAAGGGAGATAAGTGTCCTTCGGTCGAGCAAACTGTCAAAGGAAGTTACCTAGAGAAATATATCAGAAATGTTAGTTTTGACGGCTGGACAGGAAAAGTGCAATTTGACAAGTTTGGTGATCCTTTAAGTGCTTCATACGACATCATAAACTTCCAATTTGACTCAACCACAAACGAGGCCCGTCAAAATGTTTGGATTGGAGGCTGGAACGAGAACGATACACCCAAACTTATGTTAAATATGTCCAGGTTACGATGGAAAAAGTTGTCCACCCCGCTATCGTTCTGTTCATCAGAATGTTTGCCTGGTACCAGGAGGGAAATCACCTCGCCATGTTGCTGGGACTGCATAAAGTGTCCAAAGGGAACTGTCAGTACTGAGAACGGATCCACCAATTGCACAAAATGTGACTCGGAGACAAAATCAAACGATAAGCAAAATAAGTGTGAAAAATTACCGATCATCAACATCACGCACACAACCGCCTCTGGAATCGCAATAACCTTTATAGCTTCGATAGGATTTATTCTCACGTTGTTAGTTTTCGGTATCTTCATCAATTTTTACAACACCCCGATCGTGAAGGCTTCTAACAGAGAGATCTCTTTTCTGTTGCTATTTGGCATCTCAGCTCTCTTTATATTAGCCGTCCTCGAACATTCTGAGCCCAGCAATTTACTTTGCAGTGCGGCAACTTTCTGGCGTTATTTTGCTCTCAATCTTTGTGTAACGGTCCTTTTCCTAAAAACGATGCGGATCACAAGCGTTTTTGAGGTTGACAAAGTGGCACATTTGTCAAGACCCTGTTTTAATACTTTAAAAAGACAATTGATCTTTATTTCTGTTGTAAATGCACTTCCAATATCCCTTCTAGTTCTGTGGATGTCGGTCGATCCTCCTGGGAGTGAAAAGATCATCCGTTTAGACCAGTACATTTTTTTTGTGTGCAAACTTTATTACGGAAACATCGGCTTCGCGATGTTCATCACCGTTTCTTCTTACTTACTAACCGTGGCTCTCTTGTGTACTTATTACGCTTTCAAAGCAAGGGGAATTCCTGAAAACTTCAACGAGGCAAAATACATAGGATTCTCCATGTACATTCTACTATTGTCATCAATAGCATATTACCCTGTGGTGTTTTCTTTCGACAGCTGGTATGTAACGCTGGTGTCTTGTTTAACGACTTTAGTATCTGCGTTTGGTTTGTTGGGTTGCATGTTTGGACCCAGAGTCTACATTATTCTTTTCCGTCCCCAGCAGAACACTGTGCAATACGTCAGGTCCCAAGTGTCAAGTTTCTCGTTTGAAAGTGTGTCAGAAACAAGAGCTTCTCCCAAGCTCAGTAATGCTGGAGTGACTAATACCGCTAAGGAACCAGCAAACACAGGGGCTCCTGAAAGCAAGCTCTGTCTGTCACTGCTTTCAGTAAACGTGTCTACGAGAATCTTCCAAATTCAAAACCGTAAAGGAAACTAAGTGTCCAATGTTCGACCAATGTATTTTGTTCCCGAATAACAGCTTTGTAAAAGCCCATTTCACGTCTACCAAAGCCCACCGAAGCCTCTTGCAGATACCGTCATTGATTTTAATCGGAAATGTATCGCGCAGTAATATTAAAAAAGTCTTCACACCAAGTAGGAAGAGTATTGCCTTAAGTCTTGACTTTATTGTCGAGCCTATAACTGTCAGCTATTAACGGCTGCAAATATTGAGGTCTCAACCATCTACCGTCGACTATCATAGATTATAAGCCATCAAAGATCAAAAATGTACTTAATGGGGTTGTCTGTCTTCTCCGGAATACAGCTTAAGGAATCCAGAATCCCACCAAAGACTGGGGTCCGAAATCCAAGTTTAAATGACTCCTGTTATGGTTCCTACAGTGGTCGCAAAACATGAAATATATCCATTACGTACTGTTAAGCGAAGAAGTTGTCTAGTTCCTAATTTGTTATTTTACAACGCGAATCTTCTTTAATAATGCGACTTGTTTTGAAGGTAAAATACCTCTGTTAGTGAAATCAGCATTTTAAGACTTCAATAAAGTTGCTATTTATATAAACAGGATTTCTTTACGTTCCTCTCTGTGTCAGGAATATCACAAGGAATGGGCCTGAAAAACGCTGAAATGGGAAAAGCACACTTCAGTGTCCTAAAGATGAGGAAAGTCTGAAGATTTTTAAAAGTGTCTTTTTTTTCACGCCATTTTTACGAGAGGATCATAAGAATGTTGTTTTTCCTCGTTGTGTGGTTAAAGACATTTGTGTACAGCTTGCCAGATACATTCAAGACTCTTTCTGCCACTATTGTTGAACATTTCCGGATCTTTTTTTGAGAGATAATATATAGCCAAGTCTGGGAAGGGAAGTCAATTGAAAAACTTTTAAAATCATTGGTGAATGAAGAATCATCAAAACTATTTAGCCTTTCTAGAGAAATAGAAATTGGTAAACAAGAGTTTTGCTTCTTCAGACATATATTTTACATCAGAAAACTTTCCCCTCATAAGTGAGGATGGAGACATATAAAATAGTCTAGATTGAACATTGTCATTACTGGAAACTAAATCCAGTAAATCAATCTTGTCAGTTCGTGTCCTTAAACTGCACCATGAATTCTTGGCGAAAGGTTCTTAGTCGCTCAAACATTAGAGCGAACGTCTCTTCAGAAGAATAGTGATCCTACCAAGAAAGATAAAAACATGAAACCGTTTTACGTTATTTCCTTCGTATGGATAGTGGGTCTGAAAAATCAAAACGTTTTGGCTTATTTCAACCCATAATGTGGAGATAAAACTAGGTCCAATTTCATCAGACTCTCACACGCTGACAGAACGTCGCTTTTACAGACAAGTCGCTTTTAGGACGCCTTTTCCCACGTAAGTTTAAGCTCTGGTCCATACCGTATAATCCCGGCTGTAAGCCCTTCTATTTGTAAACACCAACTTTATCCCAGTTGCAGGCCCTCCACAAAGCCCCCATCATCCCGGCTATGGGCCAATCTGTGTATACCCTTATTGCGTTCGTCAGCACGCATCCTAATTTGGTGCTCCTGTGGTACAAAGGCAGAATATTTCGAGTTATCACGTGCGACTGCCGATTAGCCGCCCCTATTAATTTTGTCAGGGGCAACTCGGCCGCAGGAAACTGGACTCCTTTGGACTCGTTTTCCTTTTTGTTAGTCTCGTTTTTGTGCAGATGTCATGCTAGTAGAATAAGGCGAACGAGGGTCCATAATCAATGATTATAACTAGTTATATGGGCGGTCCCGCGAACGAACAAGATGAGGTGAATAATGTGTTCTGATTGGTTACAGGAGCAAAAAAAGAAACATTGATAATTTGCAATGTACCATGGGATTCTTGTTGACGACCCTTTTCTGTTGTGTCCTTTGCCTGTTTCTTTTGGAAACGCGGTGGGGGGAAAGAGGGGTCTTTCAAATTTAAAGGTGCAGTCGATCTAATCAATCTAAATATATTAGATAAGCCTGTGAAAACCTTGTGACACAAGGGCGCAAATGATATCACAGAGAGATTTATAAAATCATCAAAACTCCGACCTGAAGTTGATGGCCCTTGTTAATTCAAATCTTACGTGTAGTAAAAGTTGTTGCCGCTGCCTTTCATATCAAAAACCTGGCCAGGAATCATGTAAATTCCAGTTTTCTCCAGCGCCTGCCAACAGTAAAACTCGTCTGGTGGCATTTCCTTGGCCTAAATAACAATGACCATACAAACTGAACTCAGTAAAGTCAAAAAATATCTACACATTACTTTTGTCCACCCCAAATCCTGACTCCTCGCTCACCAAACAGACCACATACATACTTTCCTTTTAAGGGGAATATCTGCATTTCAAAGAATCACTCGATGAGGCCTTTACTGGGAGCTGGTACTAGATCGATACGACATATGGAATTTAGCAATGCAATATGGAAAGTTGAGAAAGTGAAATTTTAATTTTCGCGGGACATTATCAACGGCCTGAATAAGATGGGAGCCTGTAGCGTCCTTTTCACTTTTTCTAACCGAAGAACGCCTTTTATGAAAACTGACTCGGCGGGAAACGGGTTGGCATTCGTCTTATATAAGGTACATCCACAAGACTCTTGGCTTCTACATCAGACGTTGTGGATTCCGGATTTTATGCTGTAGATCCCGGATGGCAGGTACTGGATTCGGTATTCCTTGTCCATGAAACGTGGATTCCAGATTTCGATCGTAAGCGAGATTCCTGGCTTCCCATATAGAGCAGGCCCCAGCTGTTAAAAAGGTGGATAAAGTAATCCACCGGATAAATCCCTATCCAGTGGATAGTGCAATAGGCCCTTTGCAGCTATTCATTCACGTGGTAAAAACCGCCGTGCTGGAGAGCAAAAGTCGCACTTGGACATGACAAACAAAGAAAATTACCATTTAAAATTATGTCTTTTGTTTGTCTTGTCCCAGTGCGGCTTTTGCTCTCCAGCGTGGCGGTTTTGTCCCTCGTGAATGGCTAGCTGCAAAGGGCCTATTGGTTTCGCTAATACTTATCCACTGGATAGTGATTTATCCCGTGGATAACGCTATCCATCTTATGAACAACCGGGTCTGAATTCCGAATTTCAAACACCAGAACTGATTCCGGATCAGTCCACAAGAAACAAATTCCCGGGTTCCGGAATCCGGATTACCGTACACTTATGATATTCATTACTGACAGTATTCTGCAGTATGGCACTAGAAATCAGGGCCGGAAACAGGACATGATACCTTGGCTGCCTCGATGGCTTTCTTTGGAAGTGTTATCCTCGGAAACGCATACATTGCACCTGCCACCTCGTTACACTTAACATTTTCCATTGAGTTAAGAACCTCCGTTGTCATCTTTGCTTTCTTCCTGTGCGAATCCTTGATGGATGTTACTTCCTGTACAACGAGCTAAGCAAAATAATAATAATAATAATAATAATAATAATAATAATAATAATAATAATAATAATAATAATGCATTAGGCATAGATATGAAAAGATTGGAGATTCACGTTTATTATTTCCCTAGTACGTCGCACTTGAAGGTCATTTTCTATGCACTTAAGAAGACTGCCAAATATTTCGGGAATAAGTCGGAATTTTTTTGTTTTGGAGGCAATGTCACAATCTTTGGGTGACAATACAATACAATACAATTCAATAAAATGCAAAGCAAAGCAATGCAATGCAATACAATACAAAGCAATACAATACAATAATGTTATAACCTTTATTTAACGCGGTCAAATGTGCTTCAGTAGCTAAATAGCTACTTTACAGACATGAAGGAAGAAGGTTTAAATTCTTGCAATTGAGATAAAGCCTGAAACATGTTATAACCGTAGCGGCTTATGAGACATATGTTTAAAAATAAGAGCACAAAACAGGAATGGCCTAATTATTCCAATGGGATTCATGCATATAGTGTAATAAAAAAACTAAAAGAAATTAATACATTTTGGCGCGCAAATAATAGCGGTGCCCTGGGAAGAGGAACTCATTCACTCGCCGCCAGTCCCTACGAAGGCCAAAGGATCTGTAGTAAATTGTGTTCTCTTTTATGCTATCTTGCACTTCGAATTCTGTTTTACTTGGAATAATTTTATCAAAAAAAAATTCAGGAAAAATTCAGGAACTATCGACATGAAATAAGTTATAAATTGAAACTGTAAGGACACCTAGAGAAACTACAGCTCGTGTCCTACTTTGCTTCAATGATGCACGGACGCCGCGAAATAATCGTTGTAGGTGTCCATCAAATAAGGTCGATTGATAGTGGGCTGATTAAAACAAGGAAGTTCAAGTTAACAAGAAGCATAATTCAGCAGCAAATTTTTATTTATTTAGTGGGGGTAGATACATTTAGAGGTAAAAAATGATGACCAAGACAATTATTCATGGTAATTACTGATTGAAGCTTTAATAGTGAAATATTATTTCTCAAAACAGATGTGTGGATAATTTATAAGAACGTATAAATCGAGGAAAGATTATTTTTCGCTGGAGTTACTTCCAACGCAGACGTCTTTTACAAGCCGAACTGATATTTTCCAAACAAAAACTATTAATATACTTTTTCGCGTCATCAGTTGGGACATCCAGCAAAGCATTTGCGAAAGGTTAGTTATTTAAACAAAACGACACGGCTGAACAAAACTTGCCTGTACACAGACGTTGTTTTATTTTTCTTTTCGTTCTTTTCGAAAACATCGGCGAGCGAGAAAGAGCGCGGAGCGCGAGAAAGAAAAATAAAAGAATTTTCTCCTTCCCCACCCCTTAAACCCCTTCCACTGGCGGTCTCAGTAAATCCCGCGCGGTTTAGTTTTTCATCACGCCGGCTAGACGGACTTTGAAGAGAAAATAGAGGGTCTGTGAACAGGCTAGAACAAAGCGAAACATGTTAAAGGTTTTTACTGCGGTATCATGCGGTCAGTGAGCATAAATGTATTGTTAAACATACCAGTTATAGAGCGATAGATATATTAATCTTAAAGAAGTAAATATAATTCCTACTTAGACCGCGGTTTAGGACATTCAGTGGACCTTCAGATCTTTTCAAGCGTAGTAGGGGAACCCAACGACTGTTTTCTGTTAGAAGATTAAGCACAATCATTTTTTTCTGGAAATTTCTATCTAGATAGCTCGAGAAACTGGGTTAAAAGTTCCAGATGAAATTCATATAAGTTATTCGAAGTTTCAGTCTATTAACTGTTCTATAATTTTCTGAACGTTTAGTCATCACTTCGTAAAAAAGGCCGGACTTCTAAAATTTTCGCCTTTGGAAACAGTAAAGGAGAGTGGTATCGCAAAATGGTGAGTTTCCAGTAAAAAATTAAGATTTAAAGCATCAAAGATTTTGGGACGCCCTAGGACGGACCAAACAGATTAAATGTTACAGAGCTTTCTAGAAAGCATTTGCAAAGCTTTGAAAACAATCTAAAAAGATATCCTAAAATGGTTTTTGAAGAATATTGGAGAAAGCCGGCGATGGGTATAACAGATATCTAATCTTTAAGAACCGAACAAACCTAAGTTCTATACCTAGATCACGTTTTAGCTATAGGACAATCGGAAGTGGCCACGAGATGTTTCACATGTTTCTGATGTAAGTTGTTTCAAGTAGCGCGTGTTTCTCTCCTCCTCAAAGTGATAATTGACTTTCTTTTCGTCTGGTTTCCTCTGACCTCTCTAACAAACATTGCAGTCATTTCATTAGATCGGATGCATGCAACAATCCGTCCCTTCAGGCATCGCCTCGTCAAAAAGTGGGTATACGGAGTAACAATTGCTGGTGTCTGGGTTTTAGCTGCAATGCCGGTATCAACTGCCACTTTAATACTTCAGCAATATGGGAAGGAATGGTCGTATCATTTTTACTTATGGCAGTCATACTGTTGTTTGTGTCTATTGGTTATCTGTGTTTCTTACTCTCACATTGTTGTTAAATTTTTGTGTGGAGCGCATCCTCAGCACCATGGTGCAGCCAACAGACAAAGGAAACTAACAGTGACATTATTCATAATGACTATCGCATCCTTACTGATGTGGCTACCATATGCGGTTTTTATTTTTCTTTTATTTCAATCTAGTCTCAAGAAATTCCTTTCTTTCCAGGAATCAACGCGTTTGGAGTTTTCTTTAAAGATTCTATATTTGATGAACTCGCTTGTTAATCTCATCGTTTACACAATCAGAATTCCAGAGTTTAGGAAAGCTCTCCTGCTGTTATTTAAATGTCAACGAAGACAAAATGCCCGAGATATTCCTCTTCATGCGCTTTAATGTACTTTGTTTAACACTTGGAAGCCAACTAATGATTTCGTCATCTTCATAAAAAAAAAAGTAGTTGATTGTATACTATTATTGCGGCCTTCAAAGTTCGATAAAAAGGCTGGAAATAAAAGTTGTGGTGCAATTTTTTCCTTGGTTCAAATGCTTTTTTCCTTTGTTTTAAACTCTGTCACAGTTTACCTGTTATTTTAAGGGGCTGTGTCACGGCTGTTTGGTTCATTGGCCGTAATATAGCCACTAATAACGCGTCTTAAACCGCTAAGGAACGTAACGTTGGCAAAAAAACTTCCCCATCTGTAAATTCTAAATTGGCTTGACATAGAGATTTACCTCTGCTTAGAATTCGTTATAAGAGGACATAAAATGACCTCTCTTTTCAGTGTCTTTTGTTCTTTAGAGTAACTAAAAGCCTCCTAATTGTCAACGCCTCCAATCTTGGAGTGGGTAAATACTGCCGTTAAACCGTATTAACCATCTACTATCGCGAAACTATAGATACGAGGAATTGGTTTGGACCTTGTTAGGAACAAAATGACATAAAATTGTTTACCTCTTCAGCCCAGAGTCTAGCCTGCGTCGCAGACGTAATTTAACCCCGGTGATGATAAATTTCAATCTTTAAATAAACTAACTAGCGGGCTGTAGAATGAAGGTGAATTTCTTGAACTCACCTAAAGCAATTTTTGAATTTGAATTTCATTTTACGGTAAGGCGTTATTGCATCTGTTTATTTGCTGGCAAAGTACTCACACTAGTCTCTAACCTGCAATTATTGATTAATACTATTTCATCGTTAATCATAACTATAACAAAATTGTCAAATCTGATTGGCTATCAACTGCCCTGATTTCAGCCTTAATTGGACAGTTTAATAGGACAGTACGCGTCATGCCTAAGTAATTGGACAGTAAGCGCCATCACGCGCGCGCTTAAATGGCTTTTTTTTTTCACTGCTAGCAAAACAAAATTTCGAATTTCTTGTGTTTTGATTTAAAAATAGCCTATTATATCCTAAATTTTGTTGAAGTTATGATTAATTGGTAACAGAACTTCGTGTCGTCCAATTCGGTCTGTAATCATACTCGTGATTATATTAAACAAATAGGACTCCCGCTACGCGGTCGTCCGATTTTGTTAATCACTCGTATGATTACAGACCGAATTGGACTCCACTCAGTCCTGTTACCACTACTTATCATTGGCTTATATCCTCACTTCTGTACGAGCTGGCATTCTTCTGTTATTGGATGATTGACGTCAATCGTCCAATAACACAGTTGAACCGCTTAATGGAGGTTGGCCGCTCAATAGAGGTTCGCCATAAATAAAAATAATCTTTAGGGGAAACATCACTTCAATTTAAAACACTTACGCAACGGGAGCAGTATTACCGGTAACGGTCATCACTTTCTATCTTGGACTGTTCTTTCCTTAATAAAGCCAAAATAAGTGTAACAAGCGCTTGATGGCCACTTAATAGTGGTGACAACAATCACGGTGAAAAGGTGGTCGCGGCCGCTAAATAGAGGTTTCATTTGTAATTATTTTCTTCCATTGTGTCGGGACTTTGATTACTGGCCGCTTAAAAGAGGGTGGCTGATTAATAGGTGGCTGCTTAATGGAGGTTCAACTGTAGTAACTTTGGCAGAATGTCACACAAGGACAGCGGCTCAGAGGCTCAGTTTTGGGAGTACTAAACTTAAAAAAATAGCGGAGGATTTCACAGCTATGCTAAGAAAATTGGCCCAATCATTTACTCAAAAATATACCCAGACTACACAAAAATGACACAAGAAGGACGTGTGGAGGGAGTGTGGCCAAGCGATTAAAGTGCTGAACTTGCAATTCGAAGGGCCCAAGTTTAAGTCAAGCCCTAACTGCGGGCCGGATTTGTTCTCGGGGGTCCGGAATTCAAATCTTCCGTCACGCTTGTAAATAGCCAACTGGTTTGCCTCTGACCAGTTGGGATTCGGTAACTATGTTATGTTTATTTGAATTAATTGCTTGGCCCTACCAGCAGCCTGCCGAGATCAAGGGATTATTATTATTATTATTATTATTATTATTATTATTATTATTATTATTTTACCTTCAACTAAATTTTGAAAGAAAAGGCTATAAGGAAATTCATCTATATCATCTGTCGAGGAGATGGCAAAATGTTTGATAAAATTTCACGTAGGCGTGAGGATGCTATGTTGGAAATGTACTCATTCTAAACGATAAAAAATCATTGATAGTATGATATGAAGTATTATGCAAATCTTAGAGAGTGCGTGTCGTCCGCCTAAGCATCTGCCTCCGAGCTCGATCTGCATAATTCTAAATATCATAATCAGCCTCACTCATTGATAACTTGCTCAGAGCTGAATATCAGCATTTGCTAATGAGAGAAAAGAAATTGAACAAGCATTCGTCGAGTGAAACCTGAGCTCGTGTTTTTTTTTCTGTCACACCACTGTACTTCCTTTCAGTAAAATTTATTGTGGGCAACACGTTTTGTATATGGGCCTTTGTTCTCTTTGTAGCTGGAGAAATGTTGACTCCCAGAGTAGTCTTGGACATTTTTCTTTTAAAAAACTATTTGTCATCCACCAGCAATAACTTGGCCAGGTGTTGTGTGCAAAAATAACGTTTTCATTATTCACACCGACAAAAGAGAAACACTTTATGGACTGCTGTAAACAAAATTTGTGCATCTTCATTTCAAATGGAAACATTTCTCTCTTTTCGAAACTTGGCACGCATTTTGTACCTTTTTCATCGACTTTTCTTTGTCTTTGATTGAAAGTTACTTCATTTTAGTGATCTTTTCCGTTCCTTTTACTTGGCGCTCAGTCCATAACTCTACAGGAACTTCCAACAGAACAATTGCATGATGACGTTTTTCAAGCTTTTTAGTGAAGCAAAGGCATTAAGCATTATTCGAGTATTCGCAAGTGAGTGGAATTTCTTGGAAAATTACTATTTTTTCTCGGATAACAAACTGAAACACCAGAAAATATATTAATATTTCAACTCAATACAGCCGTGTAGAGGTCACTTTTTGCGTTATTCATAGAACCCTTAACCTGTATGCATTGATGTCATACAGGTATTGCTTATACATTATCATTAGCATTAAACCTTCTTAAAACGTTCAGAATTAATAAAGATGAGCTACTCTATCCATTATATGATGAGCATTATTATCCGAGCATTTTAAGGACCCTTTACGGCGACAGAGCATTAATTTTTATTAGTGAAAATAGAGCAATTTAAGGTGGAGTATTTCAATGGGAAACAAAAACACAGTTTACAAAAGCCTATTAATTGCTAGTACGATCGTAATTATGATTGACGGCAGAGAAAATTGCAATTGTGAGCTGGCTTTTAAAATTCAGAGTTTGCGTGTCATTAAAAATCGCCTAAAAATAGCCGAGAAAATAGGCACCACGTTAAAAAACGGAGTTTAACATTAGGGGAAGTTTAATGTACTTAAAGTCAACTTGCAATTAAGGAAAACAGAGCTGCAAAGTATTAAATGGACAACAGAAAAAAAAGTTATCAGCATTATAATCCACCGCTATCTTGGGTCACGTGATACCAAATCGGAGGGCGGGTATCAAGCAATACACCCCTTTCGCGTCGATATTTGCCCAACGATTTTTTAGTGACAAGAATGCATGACAAAGTCAAAAATGTGAGTCTCCTTTCAGTTTTTATCTTCTTTAATAATGCCAAATGGAAGCAGTAAAGACAAACTTGTTTTTATAATCCAGTTACACTAACATTTTGAGCTAGTCGCAACTGACAGTTCCGGAAAATACAAAGGAATCTAGGAATAAAATAAGCCTATGCTTCGAAGATGAGCAAACTTTACAAATCAATATTAGAATGAATTGCTACAGAAACTTGAATACACTCTTTTAGGCAGTCATAGCTGTCAGCTATGGAAAAGAATACTACAAACAAAGTGTTTGAAATAAACCATTTTTGTGTTACAGCATGGAGAAAAGAGAGAGAAAAGCGTAACGGGCAATGAAAACGATAAATCGATTAAGTCGTACAGTGCGCCACTGTCTACAGAGCAACAGTCTGAGTGATTATCAGGCGATTTGTAACTCAAGTAAATTCCGGTCAGTTTTCAACCTTTTCTTACAGCTGGGCCCCATTAGTTCCTCTACAGTTATTTTTCTATGACTTCCTCAGCTTCCACTATCAAGCACAGCAGCAACAAAGCTAGGTTTTGCCAACAGTCCACTAATGTAAGCTTAAATCCTTCAACTGCTCCAATTCATCAGATTCTGTGTTTCATAGTTGAAATTACTTTTCTAGCCCTCACGGCGGCACTTAGTGATATGGTTGGATTCTATTTACTTGTCCATTAGAAACGTGTCTTTTAATTGTTTTCGAACAGTGTTGTCGCTAAAATATAAACTAAAGGCGCCGTGTTTTCGAGTTTTGATATATGGAGCGTTGCGAGAGTTCAAGTTTGACATGACAGCCTGTCAAGCCCTGGTCCAATCACAGTTTAAATAAAAAATTAAACCAATTAATGATCTTGTTTGCGTCATGTGCACGCGTGCTCACCGCTTGTTTTTGTTCTCTCCCAAAATGTTGGAGATTTAAAAAATTAATGGCTTCTTGGGCAAATGTTTATTATTCAATCTCTCAATCCATTCAATCTCTCCGCCGCAGGCATTATCCTTCGATGCACCAGGCGCCGGAAGGGGCTTATTTAGTAAATAGACGTTTCTACAATTTCGACAAAAGACTTTCTGAATAAGGACCCTTTTAATATCAAAGAGAAATTGCTATGACGTCATCAATAATGATATTTTACCAAACGACTAACAAGACTTACGATTAATTTGAAATTCAAATAATAGTTCCTCTTACCTTAATGACAAAGGAAGCCAATTACTGACCTTAAAAAGAACGGTTTGAATTGTTTCTAAAACATTAGCTAGGGCCCCTTAAAACTCCAAGCTGTTAGTGGCGAGGAGAGAATTCTCACACAGTAACGTCAAGGTAAGTAATATATCATTTTTGATATGTAACATCACTATGTTAAATTCTGGATTCTAAGTCTGGATCCTTGTGATAACCTTAGTACGGTATTTTTTCACCTAAATGGATTGTTTTGACACCTTGACAGCATTGCAATTTTTTTCCCTCGGCTGGTTATTTTGCCGTTTTTTATACATTATCAGGAAACTGTTACTCAAATTAAGCGCGCCGGCCCGAACTACTAGACAGTGAAGCCTTTTGTTATCTACACAGCAGAAATGGTCAACGGGAATTGATTTTTTAATAGTGTAAGGTATAAAGCAGCAATGGTTCGCTAAAGGTGTACCCTAGGAAAATAAATGGGTTTGAATTGATGTTGACTCCAGAAAACCCATGTAGTTGTCTTCTGTAAAATGGTTAACTTGCTAAGAGAATTATTTTGGAGCTGAGGAACTTTCTAACCATTGATGTTGAGAGTAAAAAGATCGCATCTTTCCAATAATTTAAAAATCAACATGGAGAATAACGCAAACCAGCTGAACACTGAGCTCCCATATTATAGCTATATTATGTTAACAAGTAAGAATATCTATATGTGAAAGGTTTGAACCCAGGAGTCATTTCAAAAGTAGGTTGAGTTTGATCGTCCGGGTGAACGTAGTCCTGAATAGAGGACTGTTGTTGTTGTCAGTGACTGAGATCAACAACCAGAATATAATACCATCAACTGACGTGATACAACTCACTTTGACTCTGAAGAAATAAGGAACATATATTTTAGTGTGGCTCTTTCTTTGGTAGAAACAAAGAAAAACACACAAATGTTTTCGAAATCTCTTTGTTTTTTCTATTTTGCCAACACTCTTCTTGTGCGCCCGTGTGCCCCTGTCTATATAACCAGGAATTGATCTACGTAAATGACGACCGTATAGCTAGCTCTGAGTGTGATATACCCAGCTGTGTTTCTCAAACAACTGGTACTTTAGCTACAAGATACCGGTTTAACAGAGCAATTACCAAAGTGCCAAATGATTAATGGTATCAAATGGCAAATGACTTCACGAGGTCAAATTGCTCGGCCAAATTTCAAATGACCCCCTCGACGAAACCATTGCTGAGCATGAAGAATAAATTGATTAGTTTAATTTGAAAAGGCTTGTTGCAAAACAGATGGCAACAAATTGTTATTTCGCTTCGCGTGACAGCGAATATGTTGCGTTTAATACTAAAATTGTAAAAATGAAAAGCTATGTCATTAATTAATGTTTAATAAACGAGCAGCAGTGTTTTATGGTACCCCAAAGTCAACAGGTGCAGTAAAAAAGTAGTCTTTAAAAAAAATTTCCTTGAATGGCCGAATGGTAGGTAAACAAAAATCCAGTACTCGAGCCTTGCGTAATCACGACTGGCAAGTCGAGAGTGCAACGCTTGGACACTGCTATAGCCAATTACCGCTGAGTCACTGAATTTTTGGCTGATTAAATTGGTGAAAGAAAAAAGTTTAATAGTAAATATACTGCGAGTGTTATTTTGAAAGAACATTAATTTTATTCACCCACCATTCGTTGTGTCAGTTGTTGTGCTGATGATTAATATCCATTAGTCATTTGCAGTGACATTTAATACATCTGATAAAACACCGCATACTATTGAGGGGAAGTTTTATCAGATATAATGTCAGGCATGCGACTACTATCGACCACTTGATGTTTCAATGGCTTATGAATTATTAATGAGTTATTGAAGACAAGATTTGCCGCGAAATTAACAGAGCCTTTTTTCCCTTTATTCTGACTTGTGGACACAAAGCCGTTTTGAAACGGTTAGCAAGATTAAATCTATATTTCTATTGTAATTTTTTTCAGGTCAAACCACACACAGAAAATGAGCTGGAAGAAAAATGTAGTGATTTCCTGCATTTTAAGACCGCCACTCTTTATATTGCTGTTTCTTCAACAACTAACAACTTCTTACGATGGGTATAGAATTTTTAAAGATGGCGACGTGATGGTCGGCGGTATTCTCAATGTTCACTACAGTAACTCGGAAACTGGTGATCAATGTAACAAGTTTTCTAGCATAGGACTAGGAAACGCAGAGGCTGTGATCTACGTCATTGAGAGCATCAACAAGAATTCCACTCTTCTACCCAACGTGACAATCGGTTACGACTTAAGAGACTGTTGTCGAAGCAATGCATTAGCTATGGAAATAGCCTATGACTTCATGCGTGATAGTGATCCAGTGTGCATATCTACCCAAGACGGCAGCACCTCTCCCAATGGCTATGTCACAAACAACAGAACCAAGACTATCTCTGCGCTTCTTGGTCCTTTCCATTCTGAAAGTGCGGTACTAGTAGGAGGCCTTCTTCAGGTTTCTGACATTCCCGTCATCAGCCCGAGTGCGACAAGCGATGAGTTGAGTTCACAAATGTATAAAGACGTCTTCAGAACAGTTCCTCCCGACAACTTGCAAGCGGAGGTCATGGCAGACATCATAGAACTCTTTAATTGGACATACGTGGCGCCCGTTGGCTTGGATGATTCTTATGGCCAGAGCGGTATTTCGTCCCTGGAAAAAGAATCATACAACCGGAAAACATTTTGCATCGCTTTTTCTGAGTATATACCACGGCTAGGCTATGACGAGAAAATCAAGCAAACTGTTCTCAAGATTAAGCGGAAGACTGAAATTGCAGTGATCATCGTTTGGCTTTCTGGCGGTTACGGAAGTCAATTTTTCAAGGAAGCAAATACTCAAAACCTTGAAGAAAAGACTTGGATACTTAGCGACGCACTGACAGTTGGAGAAGCAGTATTTCTTGACTCTCCTCTTACAGTACTTAACGGCTCTTTGGGAATAAAGCCACGTGACTATCACGTTCCCGATTTTGAAGAGTACCTCAAGATGATTACCCCTGCAAAAAACATTGAAAGAGGCACAGATTGGTGGGAAGAGTTCTGGGGATCACAATTCAACTGTTCAGCCACGACATCGAATGATTCTGAGATCACACTTTGCCCGAGAAATCTGACGTTACACCATGCATTACAAAAGATACGCAGCTCCTTCGTTTCGTATGTTATTGATGCCATTTATGCCATTGCATATGCTCTAGATAGCATTTACCGCTATTCTCCTAATATACATGGTTCGGGTGATAAAAGTACTTGTCCCTCGATCAAGCCGAATGTCAGAGGAAGTGATCTAAAAAAACACCTCAGAAATATTAGTTTTGACGGCTTGACTGGCAAAGTGCGATTTGACAAGTTTGGAGATCCTTTAAGTGCTTCATACGACATCATAAACTTCCAGCTTGACTCAACCACAGGCAAGGCCCGCCAAAATATTTGGATTGGTGCTTGGAACAAAGACACCACACCAAAACTGAAGATAAATATGTCCAGGTTATTATGGAAAAATTTCTCCACCCCTTTATCCTTCTGTTCATCAGAATGTTTGCCTGGTACCAGGAGAGAAATCACCTCGCCATGTTGTTGGGAGTGTATTAGGTGTCCACAGGGAACTATCAGTACGAAAAGCGGATCCACCAACTGTACAAAGTGTGAACCAGAGACAAAATCAAACGAAAAGCAAAGTAGGTGTGAAAAACTACCAGTCGCTAACATCACGTACACGACTGCCTCTGGAATCGCGATAACAGTGGTGGCTTCGATTGGTTTTGTTCTCACGTCGCTAGTTTGTGGCATCTTCATGAAGTTTTACAACACCCCAATCGTGAAGGCGTCTAACAGAGAGATCTCTGTTCTGTTGCTCTTTGGCATCTCAGCTCACTTTATATTAGCAGTCCTCGATCTTTCTGATCCAGGCAATTTACTTTGCATCGCAACAACTATCTGGCGCTATTTTGCTCTCAATCTTTGTGTCACAGTCCTCTTTTTGAAAATGATGCGCCTCACAAGCGTTTTTGAGGTTGACAAAGTCTCTCAGTTGTTCACAGCGTGTTATAAAACTTTAAAAAGGCAATTGATTTTCATTTCTGTTTTCAATGTTCTCCCAATCACTCTGTTAGTTCTATGGATGTCAGTCGATCCCTCTGGGCGTGAACAGATCATCCGTTTAGACGAGTACATATTTTTTGTGTGCAAACCTTATCAAACCAACATCGGCTTTGCGCTTTTCATTGCCGTTTCTTTTTACATACTAACTGTGGCTCTCTTCTGTGCTTATTACGCTTTTAAAGGACGAGGTATTCCTGAAAACTTCAACGAGGCAAAATACATAGGATTCTCTATGTACATTCTATTGTTGTCATCAATAGCATATTACCCAATGGCGTTTATGTATGACAGCTGGTATGTAATACTCGTGTCTTGTTTAACGACGTTAGTAGCTTCGTTCGGTTTGTTGGGTTGCATGTTCGGACCCAAAGTTTACATTCTTCTTTTCCGCCCCGAGCAAAACACCTTGAAGAATCTCAGGTCTCTAGTGTCAAGTTTCTCGTTTGAAAAAGCACAACGAATGAGAGCCCTGCCCCTAGCCATTAATGCCGACGTGACTTAATTATACCTCTATGGAGCCAGCAAATACGAGCGCTTGCACAAGCTAACTCTGGTGAATTTTCAATTCTCTGGTACGTCAACAAGTAACTTTGCTTTTAAGTAAACATGTCTTTGAAGGGTAACGTTAATGTCACGTGTGGCGTGGCATGCGGAGCATGTCGGGATTTTGAAACTGAATATAGAGTTGTTAAACATGTGCTCAAATACCACGTGTCTTGTTTAACTCACTTCGAGTAGCACAACGGCTTGACATTACGAACTATGTGTCGCGTTTTGTCCGTAACTATGCAGACTTTAGTTCTCCCTTGCCTGGCCCCCCCCCGTCCCCGCCCCCCCCCCGACACACACAAAGACGTTGAGTTCAAGCGACAAGAGGTCCACCAAACAGCACTAGACCAGCTGGGGTGTAGATACACGTCTGATAAAATTGGGCTTGGCTTAATTACTTTTATTTTTCTTCACAAGAAAACTGTTCTGTTCGTGGATACCAGTCCAGTTGGGTTAGGTGCTTTGACCCAAAGTAGCAAAGTTATCTTCTATGCCAGTAAAGCACTCTTCAATATAGAAAGGCACTACTCCCAATTTGAGCGGGAAGCATTGGCTATTGCATGGGACTGCCACCACTTCCGAGTGTATTTGCAAGGATGCTATTTTAAGGTGATAATAGACCACACGCCCCCGCTGTATGTCTTCAACAGCCCTACTTCTTAATCTTCCGCAAGAATTGAAAGTGGCTTCTGAAGTTGCAGTCATTTCACTGCGAAATGGTGCACTCAAGATATGATTAAACCCAGCTGATCAAGACATCTTCATGAAGCTACCACTCAATACCACTCAGTGTAACCTAATTGCTGATTCTGCAAAGCAGCATGTTGACTTTGTCATGTCCTGTCTTTGAGATGACATTGTTAAGGCTACATCACAAGGTGCGACTCTACAAGAAGTGAAGCGTCTTATTTTGAAACAACCAATGGGACAACCTGAAGCCAGTGAATGGAGTTGATCCAAGTACTCTTGAGACCCTTGCAACTTACGTAAGTGGAAATCGTATCAGTTGTCATTCCTAGTGCTCTTCAGGGTCATCAAGCTTGACGATCCTTACCAAAAAAGTGAGCACTGACTTTTGCAAGATAGCAGGACATTATGTTGTAGTAGTGATATGATTGACGATAACTTGACTTCTTCAAAAGCGATCCTTCCTAGATTAGATCGCATATTTTCCACCTATGGTGTTACCCAAGTTGAGTGGTTATCGAGTCTGATAGCGGCCCTCCTTTTTATGGTCATGGCGAAGTGGAACGCTTCACGAAACATTTAGAAAGGTGCTCCGAACCACTTCAAACTGGAAATAACGGATGTAGAAGTTCTTGCGAAACCACAAAGCAACTCCTTATTGTACTACTAGTGTTACTCCTGCTACTGCCTTTTGGGAACCGGTAAAGATCAAACTGTGCGGCTCTATTGCTGATCTGTGCAAACCAAGTCTAAAACCAGCCCTAATGCTTGAGCATGATCCATACCAGAAACTCAAGATAAAGATTCGTGCTGAAAGCAGGATACCTATCTAAGATTCTAATATACGAGTTGGAGATAATGTGTTGGTAAAGCAGCCAAAGCTTGGAAATTTCTGCACACCATATACCACCGAGTCCCACTTACAGTCTTAAGCAAGAACCGCAGCTGTATGCTGACAGCTGAATAAGGTGAACGGAAGGTGACTCATACTAATTCTTACTTTAAGAAGCTTCTTTCAGATACACCAGTTCCCTCTCTCAGTGATGACCTGGAAGAAATGTTCAGCGACAAAGATGTTCCAAGCACCTTCCACCTCCTATACGTACCAGCAAGGTCAAGACCTCGCTGACCTAGTATCAGTAGACACCAACTCAAGTTCAGGTGTCCAAGTTGAAACCCAGTTTATAAGGTATGCTTGAATGCCCAAGCCTCCCAAGGGACTGATTTGACTAAGAACATTGTTTAACTTATGTTATTTTAATTTTCAACGTTCATAAGCATATAGAATAATTAGCAATTAATGAATGAGGCTGAGTAGGATATGAAGAATTAAGCAGACCGAGGAGGGTTTTATTTATAACAGCCTCCAAGATCTGCTTTATTCTTTATATCCTACGAAGCCAAATTCATTAATTGCTTTATTATTCATTCAGTTCCTTGTTTAAAAACACAGCTAAAACATGCTTACCTGCACCGATGTTAAGTTCATCTTCGATAATGTACGTTTAGGTTTGTCCAGCTCAGCAAATATTCTCCAAATAGCAGATGTCGTACTCTGAATTGTCTTCTTGCTGCTTTTGCCATGTTTTTAGCTATTGTTTCGCCTAGTTTCAGCTGTATTTCTTACTCTTGAAGAAGTGAAATGTCCGCCATTTTTTTTTCACAACCCAAACAAACCAACCTCATCCCCAGGTCTTCTCGGTAACGGTGCCTTAACCTGTAGCGGGTTGTATTTTTGACGTCATTTCCTCGTTAAACACACAATTCTTGCAAATTTGGTCATCAGTAACTGGTTATAGTGAATTTTGCGTGTGCTTTTAGCCAATCAGAACTGGGGAAATATTTTGAATGAATAATAAAAGGGATGTAATGTGCGCAGAACTGTGCTCTAGGCAGGATGTTTTGAAGTATACAACTTTCGATTGGTACAGCCAGCCTTATGGAACTAACTAGTATTTATTTTCCTGCATGCCTTTCATTAAGTTTTCAGTAGGAAAAATATGTTCTTTTCTTGATGTTGTTTCAAACTATAGATGAGGAGAAGTGTAAAAACTGTCCCATGTGCGTGACAAGCAAAAAATGCTTAAAAATATATAGAGATGTAAAACATGTACTCGTCTAATTCGTGTCTTGTTAAATTCAATTCGTGTAGAAAAACAGGCCATTACATAACGGCAATACAATTAAAACCCGTTAAGGAAATTAATTACGTGTCCTACTCAAGGTTACCGGTCCAACGCGTGGGCCGGTTGCGCGCTGGAGTGTGATTCCGTCCTTTTTTCTGGCACTCTATGCTTTCTATAAAACTAATCTACTCGCGTCTATATCACAGTACTTCTGACAAGGGTAATGCCTGTGTACGCGGGGAAACCAAAAGTGACGTTCTGACAACCTGTGCGGTAGTCAGCCTGTGCTGAAGATGACTACCGCACAGGTTGTCGAAACGTCAGTCACTGTCAACAACACGAGTCCTATTCAGGACTACGTACTCCCGAACGACCGTATTCAACCTAGTTTTGAAATACTAAATATGCTTTGCTATACGCATTTTAGAACAAAATAAGACAAATAGAAAAAAGAAAGGAAGAAGAGGAAACAGAGAAATAGGAGTCTACTTCACTAGTCACCCAGCCAGTTTCTAAACTCGCTTATCAGGGCTTACCTTTGGTGGTGCTATTTCTCCCGGGGTCACCCCGCGAGGTTTCAAGAGACGCATTTAAATAAATAATAATAGAACAAGGGTGTTTGTTGAAGCTAAAACAATTACTTTTAATTATTGTTCTATGGTTTTTGTGTTAATTTAATAAATGTGGCCATTATGCATGGCCAAAATTTTTATTTGAAAACATTTTTCCCAATCATTTCTCTTTGCGCTCTAGCCAGCTAATCATGGCTGTTGGCGATACGTTCTCTTGGAAGTATGCATCTTATGTATTAATTACGTGAAGAGATAAATGTCTTAATCTTCAATACTGCTGTCAAGTTAGTAGAACGATCCGTCATATATTCTGTCAAGTCATGGTTTATTTAACACATTTATGTGAGGAAGATTTGTAAATGATGTAGTTGTGATCAGTTGGTTTTCGGTTAAAAAAAGAAGGAATTCTGGTGATACAATAGCGTCGTTATCAAACCGCGCGCTTAACATCTGACACCCCTCTTATAAATAGCTGGGGTGCAGTGAGCACAATAAATGTTTTAACTTTCGATACTACTATCAGGTCAGTAAACTGTCCGTCAAAACATTCTGTCAACTGATATAATATTCATTACACGTATGATAAAGATATGCAAACAATTTTGGGTAATCCGTGATCGTGTTTCGTCGCGTTCAGGTAAGTTGTGTGAAAATGACCACTGGAAGAATATTGACAGTCATATAAGCGAAAACATGTTCAGTATAGTCATCAGTGATGCAAAATCGCTATGCACCTCCGAAAGATTTCCATAATTCAGCTTGGTAAATAAAGTGTACTGTGGCATGTAATCGCTTTTCTATCCAACTAAAATGGCGAATGACTTGCGTTTTCTATCTGTTTCGCTTTTTTTTTGGTAAGTAAAATCTATGCTGCCTTGTCAAGAAGCATGATTGAAGCTTGTTATCGTCTATTTTGTTCATTTATTTTTCATTCATTCGTTTGCAGAAATTTAGATATCCTCTCTACTCGCAAATGGCTTGGCTAATCAGGGCGGACGAGTAAAACGTAAGATATACATTTACTTCAAGGAAAAAAAGACGCGGAAAACAAAAACCAAACTATAAGCATTACAAAAAGATGGCATAACAAAAAACTAGAAAATTACCAACAAAACTTCTATTCATTTTAGAGGACAACACGGGCTAGCGACCTTAAATCAATAATCTTCAAAAACATTACATTTTTGTCATAACATAATCAGCCAGACACAGACTTTGCGCTTCAAATTAGTACGCAAAAGCACAAATTAAAACTTTCGATTTTGTCACTCCATTCTTTACAAGGCTAAAACTAGAATCTCCTGACAGACTTCGGTCTACTTCCTAAGGTGGTGGTTTATAGGGAACTTTAGAAATGATGTCGACGACAACAGCGAAAAGTATCACAAGTAGAAAGACTATTACAAATCGTTTAAAGTGTTGATTGTACGTGAATTAAGTTCCCTGGAATTGTTCTTGGAAACCGAACTTAAGTTTAAAAGGAGGCTTCTCCATGAAACGCTGCATAAGGGAATTTCACGTCATAGTCGTGAATGATGGCAAAGACTGGAGTACAAAAAATAATGTGC